ATCGAACTGAACAAAACTCCAAAGATGATCGACGGATGTTCGTACGAGAGGAACGCTGTCAAACCTTCAATTTCTAATCCAAGGGTCTTCCTCGAGAACTACGAATAATAATATTGCACGGCTCGTTCAAGGAAGAATTTCTGATACGTAAACTAATGACCTCTTTAGGATCAATTCCTTTTTTTCTCTCTCTCTCTTTTTCTCTTTCCTTCTTTCTTTCTTTCGCTTCGTATACAAACAAAGTGGCATTGCACATTCATTTTAAAAAAGAAAATTCAAATAGAACGGGAACGAAACGAGAAAAGAATTCGATGATAGAAACGCAACAGGTGAGCCGTTGCACGCAAGCGCAGATTATCACAAGATTACGAGCGGGTCGGCCCGAAATAAGCGTAGCAGACTGCCACACTATGTGCTCTCGGACATCAGTGTGGCAAGGATTATCAATCGAGTTGCTTCACGGTCACGTTGATCGAGGCCCATTGCAAAAATAAACTGCTCCCCTATATAAAATTACCCTAACTAATTAACATTTCTGTACTAGCCTGCAAACGAAAATTACGTAACGGTGTAGGATCTAGCTGAATCCACCTTCACGAATATCCTGGCCAGATCGTGGTGTTCCTTTAAGTTCTGGTAGGTTCGATCGAACACACGTTTGATCCTCGCGAACACGTCTGGGTCGTAGACCGATCTTGCGGTGTTGGTTAGATCAAATGGCTCTGTGGATAGAATGGATCTATTATTTTAATTATCGGTTACAGATGATTTCTTGTTTATCATGATATACTTACCTTCGATGCACAGGTATTTCCATTGATGTGGATCATTTTTGTAGGACCTCACTCTGCGACATTCCTCTATGGGAATTTTATTAGCCAATCGCACCGATATCGCATACTGATTGAAACTGTTTAAGATTTTCACTGGTTTTAATACTATACTTGCTCGCTGAAACAAATGAACGGTAGTAACGTATTCATACTCACTCGAATGTAACGTAATATCTAAAAAATTCAACTAGAAGCTCCCCTAATGACTGCCGATTCTTTGGCCGTAATACGGCAGTTGGAATGTCTAATTCTTCTTGCATATCGATGCAATGAATATCCGTGTGCGGTGTGAATTTACCTTCGTAGAGAGAGTGCAAACAAGGTAACACGGGAGGGTTAACACCACCTGAAACGAATGAGTCATTTGAATTGCATGGGACCTGTTGGAATGGTATCATAAAATGCAAGTACACTTACACTGGAGAAAATGGATAACCATAAGAACCAAGGAATAACTTGATATGGTCATATTTTTCGCGTCGTTGATATTCTGACACTGTGCCCAAAGTTTGACCACAAGAACTAACGGTCTCACTCTCCAGTCAACTGTAAGGATATTTAAAGGTTGAACGAATTGTCTTATATTGAATTAGATACCTTTTGCTAGCCATAGGAAACTTACTCCGAGAGTAACAGTACAGCAAGTGAGTGTTCCGAATACCGACAGCATTGTTGCAGTTTAAATCCACTTCTAAATTTTGTATCGAATCGTGGAACTTTAGAATTGGTACCTTTGCTTGTATAAGTTCCAGCTGTTCTATAAACTCTGTTGGCAGGAAAATGTTACTTCATTTACATTGAAATTCACACTGACCAGTTCTAGCAGAGATTTATCATTTCGACATACCACATCTCTTCAGGCATTTCAAAATTTGTTCCAAATGCCCGATAGCTTCAATTCTTTGATCCATCTCCGTATGCCTCACTAAAAGGCACATGTCAACATCACTGTTATCCGATCCAAATCCATTCATCGTAGACCCAACCAAAAATAAACCATACTTTGGAAATGCAGTCTAAACAGAATTATCGAATGTTCGAATCTTAATACACCAACCAGTTTAGGTAATAAAATACTGACGATCAAAACAGTTGTACATTTTACTCTGATTACTTGTGAGTAACGATTGTTTTCGCGTTTAAAGGGGAGTAAATAACTATTTTGATGGTCGGTACGTGTGGGTCGTAAAAAGCTACATTAATTACTTTAATGTAAATATACAGATATCTCCATAACATCATTTTGTTCCTGTATACAGTTTCAGTCTGTTGATTTACCATAAACTTTGACCAAATATCTTTGGAAAGATTATCCCAAATCGATCCACTGAGCAGTTCGTCGGGCGTACGAATTACTTCTACTAAATGGGATCTAGCGAGGAATCGATCTGGAGCGATTCCATACCTAGGAAATGTACTATAATTTGGCGACAACAATCCTACATATTTTTTGCTTCGTTGTACTCTCTGTGATGGTGGGCTATTCCTTCCTGCAAATATAATTGTTCATTACATAAACATGACTAAATGTTACAATCGTTACAGACATGTACATACCTGAATGATATCTTCTTTTACTCTGATAATTCTGTACCTGGGGCCTAGAGGTTGACATTGCGGTAGGATAAGAGTTAAATGGTCTTTGATTTTGATAAAACTGATGAGTATTTGAATTTACACCATACTGTACTATTCTATTACTATTTATAATATTATTTGAATGAAGTTTCTGTGGCTTGCTGTAAAAAGAAATGTGTATTACTTAAGATTATATTTACAGGACTATATTAATTTCTTTTACGTGTTACACATACTTCATACTCTGTTCAACAGAAGAAATTATAGAATCTCGTTCATCCGAGCTTTCTGTTTGGCTACTATCAACTTGATATTTATTCGGTGTAGGTGAACGGGAACTAAAGCCACTATCACTGCCATATTTTTCATTGTTTCCGAATGATTCTTTAAAGGAACTTTTTTTACCAAGTTTACTGCTATACCAATTTGATTTCTTTATCAAACCATTATTGGTTGGTCTAAAAGTAATATGTGGAGATGGTACAATGGGTGAATTATTTGGTGTATTTATACGCCTCTGCCAATTTCCTAAAGGTGTGCCACTATTAGACTGCACATATTCTATACGTTGCAGGGAAGGTATTTCAACACCCATCAGTTGCAATAATTCCAATGGATAAGATCCTGTCTGTAAGAATGCTGCTTTTACTTTAAGAAGTGTGACTAATAATTAAACGCCAAAGATATCTACAGAAGTTGTACATGTGAAAATATACCTGTATCAATTGATGCTTATTCTGTGTACAAGTATCAGGACGATACTTTGTACATTCATTATGATGGAACGCACTTGTACCATGAATGTGCATTGCATGTGTTTGAAGCGGCGGACACTGTCCATTCGCCTGTTGGCCACCCATTATCTGCACCATTATTTGTGGCGGATACACAGTGTGATACATAGTCAAAGTAAATATACAAAATGCTGCTAAATATATTATTTAGATCTATGAAGAATTTTGTACCTTTAACAGGATAACTATCACAATGTATAGAGCAAAGTATCAATATACTGAACGCTATTTAGATTAATTTATACAATATTCAAAAGCACAAAACAAAGTTAATTAATATGTATATATAAATT